CCACGTATAATGAGGATTATGGATTAATTCCTGTCTCACAAGGGGGTGCTGTGGGGATTGAGAGGGTTAAGGCGCTCAGATAGCATTGCAGGAAGGCTATTACAAACCCTTCAAGAGAGGGGGCCAGTAAAACCCCACTGCTGTTTGCAGACTGCTTACAACCGTACCTTACAATCAGCTTCCCTTAACTGGGAGGCAATTTTCTCACCAGTTCAGATTTAATATCCTCTCCAGCTGCTGGCCCTATGCAGAGAACAGCAGGACAGGAGTGACTATCAGCACTGAATTGCCTTTCAAAAGGATAGTGCTTTCAGATCTGAAGGAGTGTCTGCTGTCTGTACAGTGTCTATGTGTGCATACGTATGTGCGTTCATGTAAGCATGGAGGAGGCTGTATCAGAGAGCTCAGAAGTGAAGCCAAGCAAAGAATCAGCTCAGGAAGCCCTTTGCTCCTCTGATCCCTCATCGTTGACTGCGCTGCAGACACATCATGCGCGTTTACAGATGAAAAGGCAAAAATAAAACCGATGCTGACTTTACCACTCCCTTCAACACAGCCTCCTGCACGGATTCAAACTGTTTATAAACACAGAACTCAATGCAATCAGCGCTGCAGCAAATACACACCAGGTACACAGCGGAGACACAAGTGTCAACTGCACGCCCAGCTCAGAACGACAGGCCTCTGCTGGGGGCTCCTGCTCAAATACAAACAGCTGAAAAACCCCATAGAGGAATGTTTTCAAGAGCATTTCCTCCTCCCCTCTGGTAACAATCGTTGTATATAATTATATAAGATGTCCATTCAAGTCTCAAGTCGCAGAGCTCTGCAAGGCAGTGTGTGCGCAGGGAGCCACTGGAGAGTGGCCATGGCTGGAGAAGGGGAGCAGAGGCACAGCCCCAGCTATCAGGGAGGAACTGGGAGTTCACCAGTGTGGGGGAATTCCTGGGTGACATTTCCTCCTCCGCGGCAGCCCCCAGGATGGAAGCGAAGTGGTCCCCTGAGGGCAATCCATCAGCTCAGCCCCATTGTTCCTGAGCATGTGCTGTGCTCATCCCCGAGCAGATAGGAGCTGCATTTCCAAAGATTTGGATGAGCCATTTGCCCAGATTCCAGCCCAGCCCCCCGGGCGAAAGGATGTGAATCAGCTGGCCAGGAAAGACCCCATCCAAAGGAATGAACCCTTACCAAACCCATCCTGTGTCCTGCGCATTGCCAGAAGGCTGCGCTCAACCACGTTAGCCACCGGGGAGGGACACACGACATGTCCTAGTACAGCAGGTTGCTGCAGAGACGTTACCTCACATGTCAGCATCAGCAGAAAACTTGGGCTGGCTGAGCAGCCAAAACGCTGGGCGGACAGAACAGTGCTCAGCTACAAGCAAGCCCTGTTTTTCTCCCAGCCAAATGTTGTTTCATGCTTTAATGGCAATTTTCAAGAACCGTATTAGCATGACAACTTATGTAAGCGTTGGCCAAGCGACTACACCGTTTCTGGTGTCTGTGCCTAAGACAGATTTCACAGGGGTGTAAGAGGAAGGGGCTGGTGTAACTTTTGCATCTCTGTTCTGACGGCTTGTCGCTATCTGAAAAGAGACTTCTGCCACCCCTAAACATCAAAAGTGGGTAAATATCCCTGCTGTACAGTATTAGGAATGATTTTCCCTGTTTGCCCTGTCTGAAGCACCAGGTAGGTTGGTTCTTGTCTGTCTTGGTTTCTTATTCGTAGTGTAATATGTTTATAGAGTCATGAAAGGGATTTCTGAGCATCACAGTGGTTCACGTGTCTCCACACTAAGTGGAAAGGATGGGCAACCTCTGAAACCCTGCCCTACTGTTGCAGGTGCTATGGTATATAAAGTAGATTGGGCTCCTCCATCACATCTCTGGCTGGGATGTGCTTTAGAAACCTGCTGCGAGACAAGGCACAAAGCAATCGCCTAAACCAGCTGATACGGCAAAGCAGAAGGCAGCCTCATCAGAGGACATGCACACAGAGACCTCCCTAAACCCAAAAAATCAGTGTGATGCAATTAAATATGTTACATATTAAGCTCTTCCTCCCCTAGAAACGACAAAAACCTGCCAAACTGAAGTATTCTGGTCCTGCCTTTCCTGCTCATGCACAAGTCCCTTTGGGCTTCACGGAAATTTTGGACTCACAAAAAGCTGCAGAACAGGGGCCCCATGGCACTGTGTAATAAATCTTAGAAGTTAACAGCCAGAACTGTGCCAAATGTGATGGGTTTTGCTTTGCACAGGATCGGGAAAATAATACATTCTGGCTCAATCAGTTAGGCCTGATGCACCAGGGCTAATGTTCTACTGCTGCTAATGGAGTTACATTTCTGTCTCAAAGGCTTGAGGTCTGTGATTTGGGAGCCTGAGGCCCAACGCTCTATCAAATCTTGCCATAAGAGAAATCTTAATCGTACCCCAGATGCAGCAGTCAAATGTCAGCTTGCTTAGATTAAGCTATGATCAATCCCGAGTTTTTCTTTCGGTGATTGATTTCAGATTTGAGCATGCAACAAACCAAGAGGGAATTCCCTGCTTTGGCCATGCCTGTTCTGTGTCACCCCCAAGCCCCCAGGAACAACATTCCCCTTCCTAGCAATCACAGTCAATGACTCGATGAATTCCAGTGTTTGCCAAACCATCGCCGCTCCCCTCGGCCAAGCAGAACCAAAGGGTTGCCAAGGGTGAGAACAGACCTGCCTGGCATACTGCATAATCACTGCTTTGGCTATCCTCTTCCCTTTCACACAGGAAAACCTCTAGATGCTGGCCCTCAAGGTGTGAAGCGAGGGTACCCAACCCAAGATGCCTTTGCCTGGATTCACATAAAGCTTATAACAGCAGTGCTGAGGTCTGGCTTGCCCCATGCACCTCAGGTGCCAGTTGAGACACACTAAAAGGGAGTATAACACTGGGAAAAATGAAGTTGGAACATTGTGCAACGTAGGGGGCTCGCTTGCAACTTAGAGAGACCTGCCCATGGGAGTAATGTCTCATTGGAGGTATCTCTTTAATGGAGTCGGGAAAAGGAATAATGAGATTTTATGGTTTAAAGGTGAAACCAGATAGATAAACCCTCCAAGGACAGGAAAATCAACCGCTGAAAAACCTGTTGTGAGGATGCCAGGAGCTCTCCATATCTGTCCACAAGGACAGGGTGCTCCTAGCTCTGGCCTTGCAGCTTTACACAAGAGGCAGAAGCCATCAGGGCGAGCTCAGCATCCGCTCCATAAGCAGGATGTCCAGAGGAATCCCAGTGGCCTTAAAGTGAATCTATTAACTAAACCTCATTACTACGTAATAACTTTTGTTATTCTGGAACAAACCTTGTATCTGGCTAATCCGCTTTGTTACAGAGCTGCCCATCCTTCTCTCCAACAGGAATTAACTTCTAAAGGAATTAAAAGAAGGAGGAGGCTGCTGAAGGGGTCCTTAGAGATATCTTTTTATAGCTGCTGCCTGCCCCCCCCTTCCCTTTCTCACTATGTGTGGTATCCTTCCCCACTGATTCTGTCCTTTTCTGCTTGCCAGGCATTGATTTGTTCCTGTGTTGTTCTAATGGAGCTTGAAATCAACATGACTTTGTTGTTGGTTGTTGTCATTGTTGTTCACATCTTTGTTTGGGGTTCAGCATCCTTGTGGAGGCCAGGGCAGCTCAGGAGCTGGCATTAGCAGACTAAATACCTCCTTAGCAAAAGATCCACAAAGGCTGTGTCTGTGTCCACATAATAAAGGCTGTTACAAAGCACAGCAAACCAGTGCCTCCCTCCTCCAGTGCCATTAGCCCCTTGTGCTGATCCTGAATCCCCTCGCTTATCAGCGCACACACAACGTGTCCAGAACAAGGTCCTTCTTTCAGTAGCCCCCACGAAAACACCGTGTATTATTTCGGGTCTGCACCCGAAGCATTTACGAGCGCAAGAATCTAGATGCTACCCGATAGCTGTGTCTATTTCACTCGCGGTTTTAGGCAAGGCGTTTTTGCAAGCCGGATCAATGATGCTACCCCCGCCGGCAGGCGCGGCCCAGGCGTTCCACCATCCGTAAGGGAATTCGGATTCCGAGCCTCGAGTGCACAACCCCTGGGTGCAGAGCACCTTTAGGAAACGCGACACAGCGGCGCCCCGGGCCCCCAGGTTGCCGCCTGCAAGTACCGCCGGACCCTCGGCGAACAAAGGCCAGCTGCCAACAGCAGGCGGCTGCAGGGGGAGAGGCAGGAAGGGGAGGCGAGGTACCCGCGACCCCTCCGCAGGCCGAGGGGGCCAGCGGCCATCCCCGTGGCGGGGCGGCTGCCGCTCGCTAAGGGTTAACGCTGCGCCCTCCTTCCGCTGAGCGCTGACATCACGCGGGAGAGGGCGAGCGCTGCCGCCGCCGCCGCCGCCGCCTTCCCCCCCCCTCCAACGCCGCCCGGGACCGTGCGTGCGTGTGGAGCCGAGCGGAGCCGCCGGCCGTGCCTCGCAGCCCGGGCACCCCGCATCCCCCGCCCCGCGGCCGGCCCGGCCCCGCGCCCACCGCCCGGCCATGGAGCGCCGCACCCGGCCCGCAGCCGCCACCGCCGCCGCCGCTTGAGCACCCCGGGGAAGCGGAGGGCAGGCAGCGGGCGGGGGCTGCCGAGCCCCGCCGCTGGAGCCACGGGACCGCCGCGCTGCGAGCGGCGGCTGCAGCCCGCGGAGGGCTCTCCCTCGCTCTTCTCGATCCGTTTTTCCTGCCCCCCTTCCTCTTCCTTTTCCTTTTTTCCTTCCCTTTTTTATTCTTCTTTCCCCCCCCCTCCTCCCTCCCCTCCTCCCCACCGCATTTTTCCGCCCTCCCGGCTCGCTGCGGCCGTGCTCGCTTCCCGGAGGAAGGCACCGCGCTGCCCCGGCGCCCGAGGAGAGGGGCCCCGCGTCCCGCCGAGCCCCAGGGCCCCTGCGGATGTGCGAAGCTCTCCTCCGGCCGCCGTCCTCCCGCCGGGCGCAGCACCTCTTTGTCCTCCCGATCCTGATTCCCCTTAAGCAGACCTGAACTTCAATCACCGGGGTCCGGGAAGGGTTTTTTAAGGGGGGGGGGGAGGCCCAAACGGCGCTGCCAGACCGACCCCTGCCCATTTCTCCTAAGGAACTCTCATGGCTTCACGGCTGCAGACAAGTTGCCGTGCATCTCGGTGGACTATCGGAGTTTGCATCCTGGCGGCCGCGCTCCTACCAGGTGAGCCGCTGCCGGCCGGTCCCCCCGGGAGGCGGTGGGCTCTGCCGGGGCGCTGCGGGGTGCCGGTGGTGGTGGTCGGGAGGGAAACGGGGTGCGGGTAGGGGTGGGATCGGCTTTTTTAGGGGGTGCGCGCCCGGGTCTGGAGCAGGTGTGGAAGCATCTGCGTGAAAGCGGGAGGGAGTCGGGGCCGGTTCCATCGCTGGCTTGGAAGGGAACAACACGATCGTTTGTTTTGGAAGCAGCTGCAGGCAGTGGGCTCCGGAGCCCTGGGAGCTGAGGCCGTTTGTTTGCTTTTTGGATCGAGCAACGTCTAGCGAGGCATAGCAGCCAGGGAGAGGGAGCCACCCGGCTGGGGAATGAGCACAGATGTTTCGGAAGGAGAGAAAGGAAGGGTTTAGCTGTCCAGCATCCCCGATACCCCCCGTGCCCCTCAGCACACACACGCTTCCCACGGGCTCTTTTGTGGAGGGGATGGGCTGTTACCGGGTTTTAGACCTTTCTTTCACTGCTTTTGCACTCGGGTGTCTCGGTGGTGCCCGAGCCATCCCTTTGGTTCTGACCCATCCCTGGGAAGGAGGAGGTGGGCAAAGGGTTTTGGATCGACTCTCCCCGGCTCATTTGACCCACCCGGGCGGTTGCAGAACAGCCCCTGTGTCCCCACCCCAGGGCTTGGTCCTGCCCCGTTTGTTCAGTCCTGCACACACCTCTTTGAAGTAGAAGAGTGACCCACTTTGCAAAGTGCCCTGCGGGCGACTCTGCTGCTCCCGTGCGGAGGGGGTTAATGCCATCCTGGAGGGCTTTCCGGGATCGGCTGTAGGAGACGTGGAAGGGGGACCCTCAGTCTGGGTTTACAGCGCTTGTGAATGAGCTGGGAAATGCAAATAGGACCGATGTTTGCCTTGTTGGGCTGAGCTCGTGGTGGCTGGGTCTGGAGTGCTGGTGGCTGACACATGTGCCCCCCGTGGGTCGGTACCCAGCCTTCTGCAGGGGTGCGAGGCAGCCTGTGCCTGCAGAAGGAGTGGGATCTGCAGCTGGAGAGAGGCTGCAGTGAAAGCAGGGTGATTGCGTCCGCTCGTTGGGCTGGGGCAGCGTTCTAGAGGAGCAGCCAGGCTGGGGCTGAGATGTGGCTGTAGTTAACAAGGTCTGGGCCAAAGGACCGACCATCAGAGCCAGTGCCAGGGCCCATGGGTCTCTGGCGCTAGCAAAGACAGAGGTGATTACATGGGAGATCAACAGAGCACAGTGACTCAATGGTCCAGCTAAAATGGATGAGGACAGAGGTGAAATGGCAGGGGGTGGCAGTTGTGAAACCAGGGAGACTCTGAGATGAAAAAGGTTGAGTGATGAGAAAACAGGTCTGGGTATACCTCTGTATTCCTAGGACAAAGAGATCTGCCGTGCATTACAGAAAGAGGTGATGGCAGGGACAGCCTCAGGCTCTCTGCACTCCTCTGCTTCCAGGCAGGTGCCTGGCTCCTCACAAGGAGTCTCACAACTTCCCATGCCATTCTTCACCTGGTCTTCCCTCCTTCTCATCCCTCCACCAAGCAGCCTCCTGCAGGCAACCCTCCCCACAACCCCTGTGAAGGGCATTATTGCTGCAGTAAAGTGACTGTGCTGGGTAAACCAAAAGGGGTTTATGCTCCCTCAGTGCCTCTAGGAATAGCTTTCACCAAGGATACATGCAGACAGTGACCCTGGCGCAGCTTGGCATCTCACCTTGTGCTGCCAAGAAAGGCTTTACCCCCCCCCCCCCCATCCTATTTTTGGCTGTTCTGAAGGCTTTGCTGCCAGCAGTCAGGCAAACTCATCTCCTGCCACTCTGCAGTAGCCTGGTAGTTTGTCTTGCACTGTCCCGCTGACAGCTCTGCCAGGATAAGCCAGTGGTGCATCTAGTGGTGCCTTGCCAAGCGAAGGGTACAGCCAGCTCTGCAATGTTCCGGGAAGATAATCCTTCCCGACCCCAATCCATGCTCACCGGGTACCCTGCAGCCTGTGCGGGTGGGACGTGGCTGGACCAGTTTAGTGGTGGATGCTCCACGTTTGCAGGAACGACTGAGCCCATGATGTATATTTACCCGTTCATTTGTGCTCTGAGTTGTGCTGTGGATGCATCCCAGAGCTGCAGGGAAGGACCAGCACAATGCTGTGCTAGCTGCTGCACAAAGCCACGGCAGCCTGACAGTCCTTACTAAACCACAGGTCTGCCGTACTGAGGCAGGTAGTTCCTCAAGTTTGCAATGCATTGGGCCCAAAGCAGCTGAGGATATATATACACACATATATATATCTGCACACGCACATATATATATTTATAACAAGCCATATGTAAGCTTTGAATCAGTAGCTGTGGACTTTGTTGGAAACTGATTTGGTACCTAGCAGCCAAGAAGGATGAGAGGAAGGCAGGAGACACTACCTGCTTTCTGGAATACCTTTCATGCTCATCTGATCAATGCCATTTCATTTGGTTCCCATCCACGTGTGCCGCCTCCCCCTTCTGACAATGTTAGCTTTTTTTTCTGATAAGGAAATAAAAGTTCCTTGCTGTAAAAGCTGTAAAGGAGCCCCTTATAAAAATCTGCTTTACAAATTGTCTTTAATGTGATCAGCTCAATCGTCCAGAACGGATTCAGTTCAGTGCTCCTGCAGCCTTCCACGCAGATCTGCCTGCCTATCCGCTTGGAACCATTAACCAGGTACCAACTCAGGCTTCAGGATGCTGATGTGAGATCCAAGGCAGATCTTTAGAGGTTAGGAACACTTGCAGTTGGATTTATGCTTTCCAAGTCTTAGCAATCTGTCTGTTTATCCCCGCCATGAAACTGGGTATGGCTTGAGATGCAACCAGGCAGAGAAGAGGCATTCATCTTGTGCTTGGTCCTGCATCTGCAGACCTCAGCCTCTGTTCCCAAGCTTTCTGCTCTGTCTGCGGGCAAATTCCTGTCTGCTGTCACTGGGCTACCTCTTGGGCTCTGAGAGGGGCCTGTGGGTCTTAGTTTATGAAGTGCTTTGAGATCCCCAGCAGGGGAGAGCTGGAGAGGTGTCTGAGCCTTTGACACAGGGTTTTTCCATCACGGCGCTTGAAAGCAGCATTGGCTGAGCCCCAGTGACCTGGAGGCCTTGGGTCAAAGTTGGATGCAGCTGTATGGGGGGCTCCTTTTTGGGGAGGTAGGGCAGCAATCTGGAGTGCTGGGAATAGTCACAGTGTGTCACTGCGGGATCTGGTGCATCTTGTACTCTTGAGCTGCTTTAATGCCCTAACGCAGCCAGAAAGCTGCCAGAGTTGTGTCCAGCCTTTGCTTTAAGTTCTTGGTTGTGATTTTTCCTTTCCCCCACCTATCTCCTCCCAAAACTCAGAAGCAGCATGGGGCTATTTCAGGAAGCAGGGGTGCACCTTCTGCTGGCGTTTTCTCATTAAACCTCGCTTGTTGCAGTGGAACCAACCCGCCGAGTTCTAACCTGGTGCGAATTGATGAGCTCATGTATGTGTCAGTGTGGGTGAGGCGACGGGGTGTATTGAGAGCCAGCTCAGCCCACAAGCAGGAGAGTGTCTGCCCCATGGCCAGAGCCAGGGGACGGCTGTGGCTAATGCTATTTGCTCTCTGAACCGGCAGCGTTAATCAAGCAAGAGCTCCCAGGCCAGTGCACACAGATCCATTTGCAAATAGATGGAGAGAAGCAGGGGCATTACCACATCCAGCAGCACTTCTAGCGTGAGGCAAATGCTCAACATTAGCCGGTGGCTGACAAGATGCCGGTGCTGGTGGAGCCTGGCACATCTCTCTCCTCGCATCACCCCTCCTCTGGGCTGCAGCTGCACCAGCCACAAAGCTAAGTTTAAAGGCAGGCAGCAGGAGGATGCTCTGGGCACCGCTCACACCTCGGCTGAATCACGAAGGAAACCAGAAGAGCCGGTTGTCGTGACCTGCTTCCCAGGCCTGCGTTTCCACCGGCACCCCTTGCCCTCTGCTAGCGCTGCTAAGGGTAGGGATAGCCCATCATACGGTGCTGGTGAATGCCGCAGGGATGCATTGGTACGACCTCGGATAGAACAGCCACAATCCTCTAAGAAAAGGCTTGCATCTTGCAGCATCATTGCTCGAGGTCATGATGGCTCTTGCTCCGTCCTTTTAACAGGCCATCAGCAAGGCATATCAGTGCAAAAAGCAGAAACAAATGAGGGAAGGACAAAGGTACCCCCGTCTGAGCAACCCCTAGAGATCTTCTTGCTTTCTCAACTACGTCAGATTAAATCAGGGCTGCTCTGATGCAGGGTGAGTTCGAGCCGCCAGCCACTGGAGCTGGGACCCAGTCTGCATTTGAGACACCTCTTGTGTTAATTACCAGAGCTCAGCCATCCCAGCGCAGAGAATTCAGAGCTCTGCAGTGAGGGTTCCCTAACCCAGATTATTGTTCCAGGTGAAGATTTGTTTAACTAAGGAATGACATCTCTCATGAGATGCACTTCTCTTTTCCTCCTGCCTGCTGTTGAGATGCAGTTATTCTCCTGGCCTTACAGTTTTCATCACTTCTCCAGTAAAGGTTTAGTCCAGGCAGGGTGGATGCACTTCACCCTTTCAGCACATAGGCACATACCCTCCCAGCTTGGTTTGCAAGGGGAACCCCTCAGCTCCGTAGAGAAGAGAAACTTGCCCAATCTGCTCAAATGCAGAAGCATCACCCATGGAAGGAAGGACAGTTTCCCCTCTGTGGCAGCCAGACAGGCACCTCTGTGTCCTTCCAGCATGCCACCGTGCGAGGTTTAAAGTCCTGCTTTTACAACCCTATCTATATCACACATAGAAACGGGAAGTGAAATTTGCCCTTAGCAGCACTGTTACCTTATATGCCCTATGCTGTCATTTCTGTGTGTCCCTGTCCCCATGGGCACCCAAGGAAGCAGGGGGGGTTCAGCGCCTTGCTGTCCATTCGCTGTTTCTCCCCATCTCTGGGGCTGATGCAGCAGGCATCACGAAAGCTGCGGCAACTCTCGGCTC